GACAGCACTGACAGGTAAAGTGAATAACACTGATTATCATGAGAGGTGACAGGTGGCACCTGTCAGTGGGTGGGATATATTAGGCAGCAAGTGAACATTTTTTCCTCAAATTTGATGTGTTAGAAGCAGGAAAAATGGGCAGCATGAGGATTTGAGCGACTTTGACAAGGGCCGAATTGTGATGGTTAGTGACTGGGTCAGAGCATCTCCAAAACTGCAGCTCTTGTGGGGTATTCCTGGTCTGCAGTGGTCAGTAGCTATCAACAGACTAGCTACTGTAGCTCCAATTGCTGAAAAAGTTAATGCTGGGTCTGATAGAAAGGTGTCAGAAAACACAGTGCATCGCTGTTTGTTGTGTATGGGGCTGATTGGTGTATGTCAGAGAGGAAAAAAATATATCAGGCTACGGATACGCAGATGATTCTGCACCAAAAGCAGCAAAAGTATTTTGGGGACAATTTTCTTTTGCATTTATTTGGAGATTTGACAGTGGAGAGATGAAATTAGGGCACAGAGAGATGGGGAATAAAATCAACAAACATTGGGAGCTGCACACAAACCAGGATTATTGGTAGAGTCCTTATACCTCAGCCGAATTGCAGAATGCAGAACTGATTTAATAGTAACTAAATATATTCAATTTCTACTTCTCGTTTTATATAGTAACTATGACATTAGATATATTGCCTGTAGTGTTATTTGGTGCTTTTATATCCACGGTGACAGTGAAGTGTTACGTTTGTTGCTGAGTGGCCATTAAAGTGGCCCATCAGGGTTTTCTGCCTCTCTGTTCCCTGCACTTTACACTATTTGTTATCTTTGTCGTTGTAATTCTAATCTGTGCAAAAATAAATGAATAAAAATAAATAAATAAGTGGACATGGTTAACAATGTGCTTATACTTTACCTGCTGTCTCGAAGGGTTTTGTTAAGATACTATATATAGTATATATAGTATATACATATTGTTCTTCTGGTCATTAAAACCAAGAGCAACAACCAGTTCATGAAAGCTTTGCTCCTGCCATTCATTTAATGGAGCTGTATTGACAAAAACTGCCAATACTCTGCTGAGCGCCCTCCCCCAGGTCTCATAGGTTATAAAACACTAATGTTGCATATGGGGAATGCAAGTATGACTCTGGTGTGGTGAAAGTGATGCCCACTGACTGTCAAAGTGAACAACAACACGTCCTCATACATAAATGACTGAAAAGGTAGATGGAAATACAGCATGTACAGTATAAGCAAAGCAAAGGGCCAGACTTATAGAAACCCTGCAATAATAGAGGGAAGGGGCACCACATTACTTTCTCCATATGTAGCTGAAATGCTAACATTTATGCATCTTAGCTTGTCAGTATAATTAGGATCTTTGTCAGGAGCAAGTCTGCTTTATTCTTATGAGAGTTGAAGTTGATATTCACAGACAACTGCAGTGCAGTGAGTTTTCTTAAGGCTCTACATGACAGTTAGTCATCTTTAGAGGAACAAAATGTTGGTTCATCTGCATGTAGAATATCTTAAAACCCGCTTTAAGTGAAGTTACAAATTGTTCTGACTCTGGATTTGTGTTTTAGTAGCACAAACATGCCCTCTGACATGCCCCCCTTTAATTGATTATTGTGTGACAGTCTGTTGGTGGTCAATAGTCACACTCGCTTTGCACCCAAGAACTAAATTACAATAAGCTACAAAGTAAAACTTTCATTATATTCTTCTCAGGAACAAAATTTTGTTGTTAATGTATGCAATAAGAACTAATTAAAAAAAAAGAATTGTGGAGCAATGCTCTTTCATTAGCAGCTAAATTGCTATCCCCGGTTACATTCTGAATTGATCAAAGCAAATAGCCCTGAGCCCTGACACGAATTTGGACACACCACAGAGGCAGCTGTGAAAAGAGCTGACGACAATGTTCCAGCTGAAGCTATACGTAACTGCTACCCTGATATTTCCACTAGAAATATGCAAAAACAGACATGCAAAAATGGCATTTCATGTCAAAAAATGTAATTAGCTAAAGACAATTAAGTCTCTTGGTATGTATCACACGCATAACAAAGCCATGGACAATGAGCCCATAGCACCTCATTAAGCAGCCGGTCAGGACAGACAGGGAGTCGGCATCACATGCAAATGAAGCATTTTTCAAGCTTGGATCTTTTGTAGTGGTCTCTGTGTTCTCTGACAGCTATTGCTGTAAATCTGCTTTAAAAACATGTACACAGTGTGCTTAATAGGAACCCGAAGGTGTTCTCGTGTCATGTACTTGAAGACAGGACCCTAAATACTGATTTCAGAGGCTTTCTGTTAGACTTAGTGTGTTGGGATTAATATATAACTGCAACGTCGCTGGTATGGTTCTGATGGGGGACCTTTGTTGCGTTTCACCCTCCTCTCATGTTTCCAGTACGTCTCTACTGTCTGTCCATTAAAGGCAAAAAATTATAGAAAATGATTTAATGGTACGGTCTGTAACATTTAGGATCTATTGGGAGAAAATTAATATAATACTCATAAATATCTTTTCATTAATCACCTCACCGTTTTTGTCACTATAGAATGAGCCGTTTATATCTACAAACACAGCAGGTAGCCTTTTATGGAGTCCTCTGTGTTGAACCACCAAGGGAGAGTGAAGCGAGGGAGCTGTAATCTGCAACTACACAGCTAGATACCACTAAATTCTACACACTGGACCTTTAATTTTTGTTTTGATTTCTTTGCTTTAAGCATTAAATTAATTACATCACTGAGTGAGGTTTTTCACATCAGTAGGCATTGTGACAGCTTCTCAAAATTTACCAGGTCTTGACTTGACAGCTTCAAGTTGTAAACAGTGTAAGTGCACAGTAGGTATGAAACTTTCTAAAACAAATCTGCACAGTATTAATTGGAGAGTTGAACTTAATATTCCCATCAGGACACCTCTAAATGTTAAAATACACTTATTGTGGCATCCTTTTATCATTATATCTTATTGAGCTACAGTGTGGGTCTACACATTTACTGAAAGCAACTAAAAGGAACTACTTAAGTACCTGTGTTCCCACAGAACCTGAAAGACCATTACATTGTGGTCTTTAATTTTTGTCTCATACTCCTGTTACCAAAACCATACCAGAGTTTTAAAAAAAGAATTCATTGTCAGATTAGTGCATTGCTATATGCAGTAATTCTGCAAACTTGATTTACCATTTAGGTGGATCTAATTTCCCACTGGTTCATCCCTACATGTATCACAGATGTCTGTATGCATCCTTTCAATTACAACATAATAGCAATACTTTTATAAAGGTTACTCAGATCGAACAGTAAACAACTAAAGAGCCCGTCAGGGCTTTTAATAGTAATCAAAGACTCAAGTGGAACCATAGAGATGAGATTGATGCCTTCTGTCAGTGGTTACCTCAATTTAAACTGCATACTGTAGATGCTGCTTTTTTCTGTAATTGTTTTTCTTTCCCCCTTTCACCTAATGCACTAACCCTCTCTGGGGAAAATGTGGTTTTAATATTGCTTACATTGAGGTCTTTAAATAACTGTTTTCTTACAGTTCACACAAAAAAGTGCCTGAGTAGATATTCAAACTGAAGCTGAATCAAATTCTTAATATTGATTTTTACCTAATATCAATATTCATATCTACAAATTCATATGAACTTAATCACTGAATATGCATACTCTATTTTCATACTGAACAGAACTGTTTATTATTATGATACTATTGGCAGTATTTAAATATCCTCAGGGACAAAACCTCAAAATGATTAGTGTCTAATATAAATTTAGTCAGCATTAACATGCAAAAAACTAATTTGATAAACATAGACTGGGCCTTACAAGTAAAATCCCTTGTTTTAAATAAATAAATAAACTTATAATGATAAAGTAATGTTTTCCTTTGTTCCACAACCCTCCAGATTAACCAAACATACCTTTCTTACTGTATAAAACATGAGTTTTAAGTAAGTAGTGTGAATAAGACTACAGTGTTTAAGATGGTTGCCTTTTACAGCTTTGTATTTATCTGTATCTGCATCTATCTCTGTGTAAATGCTATGAATAACAGGTGAGAATAGACTGCAAACCCTGCATTCCTCTGCACTGTGGTCTAGTGCAGTATAAGTGAAAATGACTTCTCCCTCAAATTTAAATGTAGCATCACACATTCTGCTGATTCTGCACCTGGGCTCATTTAAATAAAAAAAAAAAGTTAAAATGAAAAGGAAATCCACTTGACTAAGAACTGGAGCCTCCCTATAGACTGTAGATTAGGGATGTGTTTCAAAGAACTAAATGACTCTGGGCTTCTGCCACTGCACAGTGAGAAACATAGTTGTCTGTTGAAAAGCTTTACTGGATTGATTGGATTTGATCAGCCATGGACGACATGTAAGTGTACCCGTGTAGAGGTTACCAGATAGCACTAAAGGCAATGCAAGCAGATGAAGGAGGTTTATCCGATGTGAACAGTTGGATGTCTAGAGGGGACTTCAGCCTGTTAGCTGTGAATGTTGATGTGACACAAAGGGGAAGAGCTGCAGCCAGCCGTTCTACCAACACGGTAATACAGTACTGCACATTTCTGTTCTCTCTGGTGCACTGAAGATGATTTAAGACCGTAATAACAGAAGCATTAAGACACCTTAAAATGATGACTCACACAAAATTTGACGGTAGTGGAAAACTCAAGAGAAGAAGATGGCACTGAAGTGACACCACAGCCAACCTGCTGAAAAAAGTGTAATTGCACACACACTGCCTGCACCATTTCAATATCCTGTGTGTGGCTCCTTTGAATTGCTGCTGACACCAGATCATCATGAAGGGTCACAGCAGATAAAGGAACACAATGTGCGCTGACTGATTACACACCGCGGCCAGAGAGAGCGTAGCCCATCCTTTATTCATGAAGTTTAAAACAGCAGCCACAAGTATCAATCAATCTCTTTCACCGTTTGTGCCAGTTGCGCGTCACTGAGTGCGCACGGCGCCCTGCCTGTTGCTGCTGCTGCTGGAGGAGAGGCTTTGCGCTCACACCTACATTCAACAGGCACCGGAGGATACTTCTTATATGTACAGTTTCACTGCGTTGTTATTCTCTGCTGAAAAGTGCGGAGTGGTTGGAGACAACACTCTACGGATCTGGGAAGGAGTTTTTTTTTAGGAATGGTGATGTGATTAAGTTGCGCGCTATGGTGCACATTTGCAAATCCTATCCCACCATTCTAGCTTTGAACCTCAGTAGGTAGATTGGACTCGTGAAACCACCAAAGCAGTGACTATATTCGGGGAAAGGAGAAGAGGATGGCGGCACCACATAACGGATCCAACATAACGGCAAACTACACCAACCAGTTTGTGCAGCCGCCGTGGCGCGTCGCTCTCTGGTCCATAGCCTACAGCTTGGTACTGGCGGTGGCGGTCTTTGGAAACCTCATTGTGATATGGATCATTCTTGCTCACAAGCGCATGAGGACGGTGACGAACTACTTTCTATTAAACTTGGCATTTTCGGACGCTTCAATGGCCGCGTTTAATACTTTGATAAACTTTATCTACGCTGCTCATGGGGAGTGGTACTTCGGGGAAGCGTACTGCAAATTCCACAACTTCTTTCCGGTCACATCTGTGTTTGCAAGCATCTACTCCATGACTGCGATAGCTGTGGACAGGTGGGCTTATGAAATGCTGCAAGAACAAGTTTTAACGAATGCAAAATTCTCCCCATGTGTTCAATTACATATGTAGATGTATAATGTAGATTCTTAAATTCTTTAGATTCTATCAAATTTGTTTGTTTTAAAATAAATTAAAAATCAGTATTAATTTGTGTATTAAAGAAAGAAGGAAAACGCAAAAAAGCAGAATATTCAATTTAATGCAGACTACCTACAGTGCTCCTTAATCATCAAAGAAGCAATGAAATTATGCACATACACAACGCATGGATATTTCAAGCTATAGTCCTACAGCATGTAAAAAGAAAATCCTTGTCACCCAAACGCTTTCATCTCAAGTGCTTCACGCATGATTTTTTGAACATCTCCTTTCTGATTATTCCACGTGGCTATGCTTCCTTCCACCAGCAGTGGCGGAAAATTGAATCTTGTTCTTTAAAAAAACCCTCAAATCAGTATTTTTTCTTGCATGAAGACAAACTGTACTCCATTTGGAGAGGCTTGTGCAATTAAAACAATTTGATGTACTAGCTTGTGCCCCCATGCACATAAGAACTTAGTCTATGGAGTTCTCATCAGTTTAATTGGAATGTCCACGCATCCATCCATGGCATCTAATGTATGCTCCATACCCACATTATTTAAATTCCATTGGAGTTTATGCTCCCTGCTGGTTTGAGTATAGCTTATTTCTTTCAGTTCCAATTGGATGAGTGAGTAATTACTTGTTTGTGATTTGCAGTATTGCATCAGAAAGGCGGTTTCCCAGCAGGGCGACTGCCATTTCTCACACCATAGGCCTATTCCACACATTTATTTTTTTACGTTTCACTGCCAGTGATTCTGACTGAAGCTGTTGTTTTGCAAAGAGTCTGCACTGCAGTGAATGAGCCAACACCCTAGAAAAGATCACCCATTCCTCCATGCTTTTATGCTCTCTGACTCTCTTGCTTTCTGTCACATGCACTCATATTATTTATCTTCTTTGCTCTTTCACACCTCTTTCTTTCTTTGTTCCTCCATCTCTCTCTTTCTGTGTGCTCCTGCTTCTGTGGTTTCCAGTAATGTGGGGATGCAGTCATCAGTATCAGCTTTGATACTGATCAGTGGACCGTCATACGTCATAATGTTTGAATAAAGGGATTACACTGATGAAGGAAGCAGCTACAGGCCGAACATAATGAAAACAAAAACCCATAGAAGCTGCAGGCACAGTGTGTGTCTACTGCCAGAGTACAAGTGTCACAGGGTGTTGTGATATTGTGTGAGGTGTTTTCCTCCTCCAGTACTTCTCCTTGACGCACAAAGGCAACAGCGCATTTCCTGAGGCCGTGCTCATTTTGGCTCCTCTACAGCAACTTCCATGCATTTGTATTTTTGGTCCACAGTGTCCGTTCGATTCTGTCAACTGTGTGCTGAGAAAGAGAACATCGGCATGACCTACATGATGTAGATGTAACCTCCGGTCATGCTTTTCGTAACCTCAGTATGGTGCTGTCTCCGCTCTGATGTCTTGAAATGGCATGAGGCCACAGTTCGTGATCATCTGTGAATTTGTCCTTCCTGCTGACTCTTTGTGCTGCCAAGCGTGTTTCCTTAGGCTCTGCAGCAAAATAAACGCAGGTTGCTGTGTGAAAGGTAACTGGCGAAGCCTTAAAGCTTTTTATTATACCATGGCTGGTGACTCCCATTTCTGACACCTTTAATTCTTTGTGTAGAAGCTGTGGATGTGTGTGAACACAGTCTGTAGTGATACTGTGTATATATCTAAACTTTAATGTTATGTGCAGGGAGAATAACAAATGCTGTTTTCCATAAATGGTCAGTTCACTATAAACTTGTTGGTTTGCAGTGTAAGATATCCATCTCTTTGAGATTTCTGCCTCCACCCCAACACAGTGAAGGTTAAAGAAATGTTGTTTTTGTGCAAATAGCAATAAATAGTGCTGAATTGTAATCAGAGGTTCAAACTATTAAAACAAATTAAACCAAAACTATCTGCCTGGCTAGATACCAAATAGTACTATTCTGTGTGATTTGGGTGAACTAATCGGTTAAGTGTTTTTTACTGTATGATGCTGTGCATAAGCGTGGCTGAAACATTAAACACAGCCCTCTCCTCTAAGGACATTTGAGTCAACATTTGACATTTAGCTGTGCACATAATGTTTGGCTATTGTGCTAAATCTCATCCAAGGTAATCTCTGCTGGTTAAACACCAGGCAGTGATGAAGGGAGTGTTTAGTTGATGTTGTCACATCACACTGACATGGTTTCAAAACAGTACGTTGTATAAAAGCTTTGTGCAGTCCCAGGTTGACGAAAAAAAAACACAGAATGATTTATTAACTTGCTGCTGTAATGTCTCATGTCCAGTTGATGCTGACGCCTTTGTGAATTTGCTTTGATGTGTAATCCTATTAATCTTGTCCAAGTGTTTCTGGCATTGAATTGTGATTATTGTTCAGTGGTTACAAGTCTATTAGGTCAGCCACCATTGCGTGAGCTTGTTAGATCCCAAATAACTCTGGACCGCTGTGGCACATACTTGATTGGACATTTAACAAGCTATTCACACACTGCCATTCACAAGTGTGCGCAGTGAGACACTCAGAATAAATGCCAAGTAATTACTGGTGAAAAGATGGGGCATCTTTGTTGCCGTCCCTCAGAGAGTTCCAGTCACTGAGGTGAAAGCATAAGGACTTGTTCTTTACCATCTTATGAAGATTGAATTAGCAGCTCTGAGCCTGCGTTACCAGAAACTGAAAATCATGTAGCATCCTGAGTTGTTAATCTCCTGCCAGGTCTGAGTGTGTCATTGTGCGGTTCAAACAAAATCTCATCATAGTTTTTTGGAATGAATCATCCATCAGTTTCCCTGAAAAACAACCGCCACAGCATTGGACTTTCACAGGCTGCCGTGCAGAAAATTAAGTGTAGAATAATGTAGAAATAAATATTAAATTTAATTAAAATGCCTGAATCATCTACTGAGTTTGGAAGTCAGATATATTCCAATCACATAGAGCTGCGCTTCTCTAGATAAATCTGAGGGGTGATCAAATTATTAAAGTGATAACAGCAGAAATATGTTTTTACATTTTTTAAAATTTTCTCAAAATTATATTTCTTCTTACATCTTCAGGCCACTGATAATCCTTAAAATTAAACAATCCAAGAAGGTAAAATGACTCTATCTGAACAGCTCTGAAGTCACAATCAGTGTAATGCCGTATAATAACCTGTACACGTAAATATTACTTCATTTTAAGGAGTCTAAACCATTGAGAAAAACTCCCATAAAGTGTACATGAATGGGTCTCTCTTGTAAAATCTATAATGTGTGTCAAGAGACTTCCTGGTTAAATAAAACTTAAATCTATAAATAAATCAATAAATAATTGAATAGGCTATCAAGTATTCAAACACAATTATGTCTTATTAACCTACTGACCACTGACGTGCAGGTACATGGCCATCATCCATCCCCTGAAGCCTCGACTGTCTGCGAAAGCCACCACAGGGATCATCGTCTGTATCTGGAGTCTGGCCGTGGTTCTGGCCTTCCCTCTCTGCTACTTCTCCACCATCCGAACTCTACCCCGCAGGACCCTCTGCTATGTGGCCTGGCCCCGCATGGCTGACGACCCCTTCATGTAAGAAATAGTTTGCTTGCTTTTATGAATACCAAGATGTGCAGCTCAGTTCTTATAGCTTATTTTAACAGGTTGCAAGTTAATAGACTTAGACTTAGACTTAGACTTCTCTTTATTGATCCTTTTGGGATGACTCCCGCAAGGAAATTGAATTTCCAGCAGCTTACAAAACAGTGTAGAAAAATAAAGAGGTATAAAAAAATACAGTACAAGATAAACAATAAACTCTTTGCTAGAAATAGAAAGTAGACAATAAACAGTAAACAATAAACTCTTAGCTATATATAGAAAGTAGAGATAAGAATAAAAATAAAATAAGATAAAATTCACGGAAAATTAAATTAAATAAGATAAATGTTGAGAACTGTAATTACAGTGTAATTAATGTAATTAAGGTATGTATAACTTACAACACTGGTGTAACCATTCAGTCATTCATTGTTAATCGTTGTTATAGTAGAACAGTTAAAGAAAATGGTAGAAACTAAAAGAGCCAAAGGGATTTCTTTTTATATATATTTACACTGGGAGCACACAGACATTAATGTTGACAGTGACATGCACACTCAGTAACAGTACCTGTACCATAGACTTTTCCCAAAGACTATTATTGATGTTTTTCAAACTTAGGACCATATTATGTACCATCCTCACCTTAGTAAATATGTCAAGGCATGACGGAAGTGCAGGAAAAAAAAACAATTATTATTCATAAGGTATATATCAAACATATCTTTTTAGCCACATCACACGTGATCACATACATTACTTTCTCTTCATTAAAGGAGTGGTTTGATATTTTGGCATATACTTTCTTTCTTTCCAAGAGTTAAATGAGATGATTGATATAGCTCTGTTGTCTGTACACTAAATACAGACAACAGCAGGTTAGCTTAGCTTAGCACAATGACTGGAAACAGGGGAAAACATCTAGCAGGGGCTCTGTCCAAATGTAAAAAAAAAAAATCCACCTTCCAGCAAGTAAAGTTCATTAGTTATTTATATCTTCTTTGTTTAATCCCAGCATTATTGCACCAGGCACAGCAACTCTCAGGAGTCTTTGCTGGTTGCTTGTCAACCTCACTCTCTCTGGTGCCTTTTACTTTCTGGTGAGCACGATCATCGACATCTGTTAACCAGCCTCAGTGCTCTGACTCTCAAACGCACAACTATTGAAGTAATGCTCCAGTTTTACCCTCAGAAGGACTGTCAGCTTAACCTCAGTCCTCTTCCCTGTCCTATTAATGTTGAACTGCCACTTGGATCCAACCATGGAATAATACACATCTGCTTATCACCAAAGGGACTAGGCAATTGTCTGTCGGGGAACAGGCAAACCTTATGAAGCTACTGCTGGTGAGGAATGGATCTCATCAGTGCATGGGATGCCACCGGGAGTGCAGAATAATTCAAAATTATGATCAATGGTGTCTACTGAACCATTGTCCCTTATTTATCCCGCAATTAAAAATAAAGAAATGTCATATTTACGATGCATCTCTGTCTGAGCAGCCACTTAAAATGTAGTGTAGCATAGTGAACACAAAAAACATAACGGGAAATATTGTAGTTTGGGTTAAAATGACTACTTTGTCAAGGGACCTTTGTTGTCATGGTTACAATACAATTTGTGGCAGCTGTTGCTCAGGAGGTAGAGCTGGTTGTCCACTAATTAGAAGGTTGTCGGTTGATCCCCGACTCCTCCTGCTGTATGTTGATAGCCTTGAATTTCTTGGCCTTGTAAAAGCGCTTTGAGTGGTCAGAAGACTAGAAAGGCGCTATACAAGTACAGTCCATTTACACTACTAACAACGTGGTTAAGGTTAGGTAAGGATCGGGGTAATGAAAACTATGTTGACCATCAAAAAACAGCTGTCTTTTGTGCCAAAGTCAGATGTTTTGTTGACCCATCCACCCAGAACTCCTCCCAACATAACCTGGCGTTCTCCTTTGCATCCCATCATAATTACTACCCCCCCTAGGCTTTCCCACGTGAACTAAAAATATTGTTTTGGGGCACTTGCTGAAATGAGGCGTTGTTTTTCTTGGGTGGGTGGTCAACGTTATTACAATGTTGGTGTTTGTGTTGAATTAGTGTTCCGATCAAACCTACATTCATCAAGTGCAACATGTACCATAAGAATACAAGACTCAACCTGTCCAACCTACTGTGTATGAAATTATTTATGAGTCTAAATATTTTATAAATGTAAACATACTTCAGCCTTTTCTCCTTTTTCTTCCTAGGTATCATATCATAGTCACAGTTCTGGTGTATGTGCTACCTTTAGTGGTCATGGGCATCACTTACACCATTGTGGGCGTGACTCTGTGGGGAGGGGAGATCCCAGGAGACTCATCTGATAACTATCATGGACAGCTAAGGGCTAAAAGGAAGGTAAGAATGCATGGGGGTGAAATAGTGCAACATTTATTCAGATATGACCTGGGGCATGCCAATTAGTAACTGTGAATACAATGATATTTGAATGCTAGAAGTCAGAGAACCAGGAATAAATTGTAAATGTCTGCCACTGAGCAGTCTGTGGCTCCAGGTCATCATTGTCTCACTTCTGTTTTCTTTTTTGAATGGAATAGGAGAAAGAAAATTTAAGGAAACATGCCATTTTGAGTTTCAGAAAAAATAAATTTGGGAGATTTTCAAGTTTCAGATCTTTTTTGTAAAACCGGAAGGCATTCAGAAAGCATCTGCCAATCCAGAACAATTATCCAGCTTGCTGTTATATTCATATCTTTGGGATTTGGATTTAAGCCTCTGTCTCTGTTCATTTAATTGCTATAGTTAAAGAAAATATTGTTGCTCATGGCGAAAATCCCAGACCACCACCAAATCAAATTAATTGTTCCTTTGGCTGTTTTGTGTTCATGGTAATCTCTTGGTAAGTGTATCCTGCCGATAAACAACCTGGTGAAATCACAACATCCTTGGTGGAGATACAACATAACAAGCACATTCACAGCAACTCCCTATGATATAGTAATAATAAGACCATCTTAATATTTTACATGTTTAAATGAATCCCAAACAACACCCTGTGAGCTTTTTGTTGTATGTTTCATCACTGGAACTAATATTTCGGCGCTGAAAATGATTGGACATTTTGTTATATGTATCAGACATGCAGTTGCAGCAGTAGGACTATATAAAAACTATAAACATTATTATCTTCACTAAAGTAAGAACACTGGGCTCTTTAAAGAAATAAATGAAAAATGTGAATAATACATTCAATTCCCATTGGTGAGGTTAAAAAGAAAGAAAAATTATGTTGATTAAGCTCAACAATCATTAAAGTTATGTAGCTTTTCTTTCAGTCTTAATATTGTCTCAGGTAGAGAAATATTAAGTGCACTTGAAAGTGTGAACAGCTACAGCATATTGCAGTGAACACAAATAATGACCTTCAGCATGTGTGTGAAGCAGGTAGACACCCTCCACTGTGAACATTTCAGGGAAGAAAATCTTGATTCCACAGAACACAACCTTTCTGGTTGTCACTTGTCCTCAATCAACTGTTTGTCCATTGGTCCGGACAAGCACTAGCTCTGAAACCAACAGCGTCTCAAGGCATTACGAGTTTGTCTGTATTTTGGTAGACATATCTGACACCAAGGCCTTTATTTCTCGGGAGTCAGGAGCTCATTCAAGACATGCTTTTAGACTGTTTACTGCTACTATGAAGGATGACCAAATATGAGAAAACATATCTTGCAACTGACAACCAGCTCATAAAAGGGTGATAAAGGCAAATAAATCACCTACTGCAGCATCACTGGCAAATAAAATTATATACTACTTGGCAGGGTCAGTTAAACTTGAGATATATGCCTGAAGGCATTGAAACCAAATATTTTTTTTTCCCAGGTGATGCCAAAAACATATGAAACACATTTATATATAAAGCCTACAAACCATGCAAAGGCCATCACATAACCAAAATCAGAAAGGATAAGCAAAATATCAACACCTAAGTGAAATCAATACCAAAGAAAATATTTTGTGAATAATACAAAATTACCAAATCACAGGATGTGTTACTAGTCAACAAACTTTGTAATAACCTCGGGTTAAAAGCCGTTGTGTGTTAACATGTACTGATGAAGTAAAAGGAATCACTGAAACTACTGAGTGGTCAAAGCCTTTAGGAACCAACAGGGGTGACACCTTTACACCTTACTGAATGATTTCCCTGTGGCTGCCTGAGCTTCTTATCACCCAACACAGGGTCCAAATTTCTGCCTTTGCCGTCACATGCTTTCTCCTTTTCCTAAGAATCGGAGTAGTCATTATAGTTCTGGCCAGAAAATTGATCAATTGGGAGTCCTTCCTGTAACTGTGAAGATCAATAAGTTAAACGGAATATTTGTGCCAGGGTGTTTGTGTTTGTACACATTAGTATTCAGGTTTCATCCATCTGTTTCACTGTGATATTTCAGACAGATTGCATTTTGTTGTTGATTTCAGTGCCAATTTCAAAAGCAGTTTGGATTTTTTTGTGAATGAATGGATGTAATGAGGCACGTCTATCTTCCTGTCCTCATCACTGGTTTACATGGCACAGTGCATTTTTCTTGGGGATGAATGTAATGCGGGTTGAGAGGTTTGTGCTCATAGGCTGTGGTCAGAAAAGGTTACAGAAAGGAGAGAACAGCACGGGGCAACACTGTGAAGTATCCCAAAACTAGCTGGATCAAAAGCTTATGTTTTTATTCTATTCCAGACAGTAGACACCAATACTAAACAAATAATTATTTAGACTATTTAATGTGTTTATATTGGAAAAGTGATCAAAATAAGTATACTCAAGTATGCATACTAAATCTGCTTAATTTTCCAAGTGTGATGCTAATGATCATTATTGTCTCAGTGTTGACAAAGAAGCTTCTTACAGCTGCCAAAAATTAAAACAAATTGTGGTTGGAATAGAAATGGATACAGGAAAACTTCAGATACATTAACTACAGTAGTAGCAGTAGTATAGTGGTATGGCATTGAAAGACAGGTATTGTTAGGCCAGGAGGTACTTCCTCTAATATCAACTATATTGCCCAAATCGCCCCCTAACTTCTCTGAGTTTGTTATAGTAGGCCAACATTTAAAATTCTTTGATCCTATAACTACAGTCACTCACAGTGTTTTTGGATATAATGGAGATAATAAAGATATCATAAATAACAAGACTAATACGAAGAGTCCACAGTCATGCTAGCTGCTCTGTGAAACTGTTCTTAGCAGTCCTTAGAGTGAAAGGCTAACATCAACATGCTAACATACACAATGACAATGCTAACGTGTTGATGGTAAGCAGATTTAAAGTGAACCAGATTCAACATCATAGTTTAGTGTGTTTGCATGCTAACATTTGCTAATTAGCGCTAAACACAAAGTAGAAATGATTCTGATGGGAATGTCATTAGTTTTGCAGGTATGAAAAAAACTCTTGACTTGATAATGGCGCTGGATTACCAAATGAGGGGGGCATGAATGTGTGTACCAAATTTCTTGGCAATGCATTAGATATTGTATTGTATATTTCACTCAGAACCTAAAAATGCCAACCTACAGGAAAGGTCCAGGGATCAACAAAGTCATTTTGGATTCATTGTCTGGGAACCATAAATGTCTGCACCAAATTTGGTGCCATTTCATTGAGAGATATTTCAGAAGATAAATGAAAACTCCTGTGGTGTTTGAGGAAAAGTAAGCAGATCACCAGTGTCTCTAGAATGTATCTTTTGGGGACCATGAATGTTTCTACTAAACAGATTTTGGGATAATTTAGTCAGGATCAAACAGGTGAACAAGAGCCAGGCAAACAAAAAAAATATATATATATATATATATATATATATATATATATATATATATATTAGATTGGCAGCAGATTATTTAGGTGAACTAGTTCTTTAATTAGATATCTTCTCTATCTCTTCTCATCGTCTATCTCGGCCTGTGGTGGTTGGCAGCTGCTTGTCAAAGACTTACTTTTGTATGACCACCACTTTAGTAACCTATTGGATACATCACCCATGACCAACAATTGTGTATTGAACAGTGACAAATTGCATCTTCAGAACAGCTGTAACCCTCTCAAGGGACTGACGGGTAATTTATTTTTCAATGATGGTAGTGGTGAAGGTCGCTAAAATGTCAATAATGGGTGAACTGTAGTAATGACGCAGAAAGTTGTAATTCCCAAAAATAACCTAAGAAGAGTGCTATTATTTCTCAAGATCTTGCTCAAGTATTTTCTAGTGTTTCACCTTAACAACAAATTTCCTGTACTGGATACATGATAATTGGAAGCAATAGAGAGCACTATCTCTCTATGATTTCTCATCATTTATATTGAAAGAAAGATTCGCCAGTCCATTGTTTCAAGTTAATCCATTCTGCTGCAATCACCATGCCACAGGTGATGTATTTTAAGCTCATGCCTGGGCCTGTGGGTTCGATGTGTCAGTTTGAAGTACAGCATTAATTATCTGTTATAACTCTGCCGTACAGCTCTTAAGACAATTTGTGTTCGACTGGTGTTGTAAGTACTATCGATCATCCATCTTCCTTTCTCCCTGAAGATGAAGTACTGTGTGTGGGTGTCTGTGTGTGGATGTAAGGATTGGGATGGATTACCTCTACAAGATCAGATTTTTCCCTGAAATGAAGCACAACAGTGTTAAGCCGCAGTGTATGTGAGTGTCATGCCAACCTCCAGAGTTAATGGGACTGTTCTAATCTCGACTGGACAGGTGTCAAAAGATCCGTCTGTCCTGACATAGACAAGTGTTGGTGTGCACAACCAAGTGCCCAGGCTCATTCCAAATTGAAAATCAGTGGAAGCAATTTTTTTGAGGGTCATTCACCAAGCTACACTATAATACATTATAATACATATGATCCATGCAGCTGGCTGCTCTGTTTTTTCACTCCCTGACAAAGGCGTTAGGGTTTAGGCCATCAGGCTTTTCACTTTATCTAGTACCCACAGTGCTTTTGATCTCCCATTCTTTCTTGTAATGGCTTGTAACTACTGATTACAAAGAGACTTTACTAAGCAACCCTGTCTCCTAAAAACAGTGTAATTTCAGTCTTAAAAAGCATTTTATTTAGTTTCCTTAAAAATATTAATTAAAGAAAGACCATAGAAGGCATTAAAGGTCCAGTGTGTAACATTTTGGAGGATCTATTGGCAGAAATGGAATATAATATTCATAGGTCTATAAATATCTGAATATAGGAAGCGTTAACTTTGCGTTACCTTATGAATGAGCCGTGTTACATACAAAGCAAAAAGACAGGGTCACTCAAATTCTCCTCTTCTGATTTGTTTTCTGTGTTTCTTCTTCACCTTTTGATTTTTACTAAATGAGTTTCTC